TATATATATATATATATATATATATATATATATATATATATATATAGGTATATATGTATATATATATATATATATATATATATATATATATATATATATATATATATATATATATATATATATATATATATATATATATATATATATATATATATATATATATATATATATATATATATATATATATATATATATATATATATATATATATATATATATATATATATATATATATATATATATATATATATATATATATATATATATATATATATATATATATATATATATATATATATATATATATATATATATATATATATATATATATATATATATATATATATATATATATATATATATATATATATATATATATATATATATATATATATATATATATATATATATATATATATATATTAAGCATACACACACAGACACACACAAGTGAAAACAAAAAATATATATTTATTATGAATTAATATTTTGTTATAAATCAGTGTAAATATTTAAAACCATAATAGTTTATTATAAAAATATATAAATAAACTTCTGTGTATTCATGCCAACTTGTTGTACAGTACAATTAATTTGCTTTTAGATTTTTATTTATTTATGTGACGTGCACATCACAAGTACACTGGACAAACCATATACACTTGTTTAACAGAAATTTATGACTACGTTTTTTATTTTATTTAACCATTGACATGAACTCCTGAAAATAAAATAAAAAAATTAATTAATTGAGCAAAATTTGGAATTATCTTTTTTTTTTTTTTTTTTTTTTTGTGAGCTTTCCCCATCAAATTTCTGCAGAAAATCAGGCTAACGTTATCATGTGTGGGTGACATTAAGCTTCCTCTGGAATGACTTTTATCTGAAGGTCACACGGTTGCACGGTCCACTGGACTGTCAAACTTTAGCAATACAGTCATTTAGAAATTGCTTTAACTAACTTGCGATCAGTCCTTGCTACATTCTTCAACAAAACAGACATTTTGATTGTTTGAACTATCTTCTGATGAACAGAATTGGGTTTCGTCATACTTTCTATTCACATTTTCAAAGAAAAACATCAATACAATACAATATTTATTTACAAAGCACATTTAAAAACAACCAAAATTTACCAAAGTGATGCACATAGAAGTACTAAAGACAGAGAAGAAAGCAAAATATAAAAGAAACATTTAACAAATAAAAGCAATAAAACATGCAGTATTAAAAGCGGGAGAAAATAGATATGTCTTTAAAATGGACTTAAACCTAGAAATGGAGGGGGAAAGTCTAATGTGAATTGGTAGAGTGTTTCAGAGTTTAGGACCAGCAACCGCAAACGCTCAATCACCTCGTTTTTTATTCTAGGCACGATGAGTAAATTGAGATCATAAGATCTAAATGATCGGGTATACGGACAGAGCAAGATTATTAACGGCTTTGTAAACCAATAATAAAATGTTAAAATCAATTTAAATTTAAAATCATTTCTATATTTAATGGTTGATTAAATGGGTAAATACAAATACAAACTAGAGTGAAAGTGATTAGACTTGTGAATTTCTTCATGGATAGTTGGTGTGTTTTATCCACTGCAGGTACATCGATGAGCTGTTGCGTCTGAAAGCCACGGCTCGTGAGGAGGGAAGTGACTACCTCACCTGGAATGACATCCAGGCTTGTGTGGACCAGGTCAACAATAACATCCTGGAGGAGCACGAAAGTGAGCTTCATTCACTTCCTCAACATGAATGGATCCAATTCATGTCGTTCACCATAATGAAAACTCTTTGTGTATTCTTGTGTTTTTAGGGATTGGTGCTATTGGTCAGATCAACGAGGCTCTTGATGAGGGTGACCTACAGAAAACAATGGCTGCTCTACAAAACCCTGCTGCCAAGCTCACAGATATTGATCCATCCCTGGCCCAACATTATTATGATATACTGCAGGAGGCAAGGAGAGAAAAGGCTCATGTATGTACATTTATTATACTTTTCTATTAAAATTCCCTTCCGCTAGTTGTAGAAAAACTGTCACTTTTTGGAATTTGAGATAATTTACTGTACGTCAGCTCAAAGCTGATTAATCTTGTCTTTATTGTATGGTTTGTTGACACATGACTATATTTGGCTGATATATGAATGTAAAACACTTGGGAATCTGAGGGTTCGATATCATAAACATAAACCGCCTTTAAATTTGTGAAATAAAGTTCTTAGCAATGCATATTACTAATCAAAAATTATTTTTTTATATATTTTATGTGAGGAGATTTACAAAATATCTATATGGAAGATAATATTTATTTAATATTTAATGATTTTGGGGATAAAATAAAAAGCAATTTATTTATTTATTTTTAATTTTTTAAATTTTTTAACTTGGCCACTTCCACAAATATATCTGTGTAACCTAAAACTGTTTTTTGTGATCCAGGATAACATTTATTAACAGATAATGTCCGTAAATGCAAAAAAAAAAAAAATGTTTTTCTAGTATTTATTACTTATTTTGAACCATTCAGCAATGTTGAGTTACTTCCACTGCTTTCATCCTCCTGTATCCAGTTCCATTTTTTGTGTAGTATTTGATTCCTCTTCCATTGTGTCATTCTCTGAACACACAATAGCATTTTCTCCCATGCCTTAAACATGAGATAGGTTTACAGATCTAACTTTGCTGATGTCAGGGGAAAATACTGTACAAAATACAAAATAGAGTTGCTGTTGATTTCACAGTACATATAAACAAAAGGTTTTTGTACAGCCTTATTTAGCACATAGCTTATTAGCCACTGCCATATCACTCTGCAGCCCAAGATCGGATACTCACTGAAGCTAAGCAGGGCTGTGCCTGGTCAGTACCTGGATGGGAGACAACATGAGAGAACTCGGTTGCTGTTGGAAGTGGTGTTGGTGGGGCCAGCAGGGCACGCTCAACCTGTGGTTTATTCTAATGCCCCAATAAAAGTAAAGGGGACACTATTGTCTTTCAGATGAGACGATAACCCAAGGTCCTGACTCTCTGTGTTTTAAAAAAAATCCTATGGTGCTTAGTAGAGTAGGGGTGTAACCCCAGTGCCCTGGTCAAATTTCCTCTTGGCCCTTACTCATCTTGGCCTTCCAATCATCCCCATCCACTGAATTAGCTCTATTACTGTCTCTCTACTATAGCTGGTGTGTTGTGAGCGCATTGGCGCTGTTGTCCTGTGGCTGCCGTCGCATCATCCAAGTAGATGCTGCACACTGGTGGGGGTGTGGAGAGGACCCATGATTGTGAAGTAATTTGGGTGTATGGCCATACACGACAAATGCGATATATAAATAAACATTAAATTACATATTTGGAAATGCTCTGCTGTGTGTAAATAGTTGTATTTACAGTAGTATAGTATAAAGCCATCTGTTAAGCCAAGATGCAGCTTTATTTTTAGTCATCAGTTGGTAGAATTCATTTTGCAGAAGTTAAAATCTTTAGAAAGGTCTGAAAGTAGGGTTACGCGTTTAAAGTATTTAATTTGTGTATATTTAATTTAAAATAATGGAAAGTAATGCTATTATTATGCTACACTACGAATAATAATAATTATTTATTTTGCAGTACTGCTGTAAAATGATAATACTAATATTTATGGCTGTCCTTAATTTGCATTCATCAGAGCTTTTATTTTGGCAGAAACCCACAGGAAGTTGCTTGCATGTAAAAGAACAGCTTTACTCTGCAAAACGTAGTGCTGTTTCTGTTTTGAGAGTAACCGCATGACCTTATCTGGAAGTCTCGCTCTTCTCATGACTTCAATCTGATGACATCATCTAAGCTCACAGTGTCTCTGTTTTGTCTGGCTATTACTCGCCTACTCCCTCCTACCTTCGTTTTAATAGATAAGTTTTTTAAATAACTGTAATAAATATAGATGACATTTAATTCAGGCTTATCTCACCTTGTCCTTTTAGGAGAGATTTATGCGTGTTTGGTGATGGGACATTTCTGGTCAGCTTTTGGGAAAATTTTGGGGGCGGGTGTGAATTTGAAACTTGTTAAAAGTCTGGTTACAGTCAATGGAATCTTGCGAATCCTATCGTCTGAGTTTTTGCACATTTAAAACTCGTAGGAAGAAATAACATGACTCAAGAGAGATGATTAGTAGGTTTGCTCACTTAAAAAAGGGTTATAATGTATTGCCATAAGTAATAACAAGCCAAGCTTAGGACTATTACTTAGTCAGCTGACTTTTTTGATATAAGATTCTCAGCACTGCTAATGGCTTGTTTTCACTGAGTGATATGGTTCAGTATGGTACAGCATGGTATGGATTTAGTTCTGTTTAGTTTGCCAAAAGTACCAAAATAGCAAACCTGTACTGCATTTTTTATGCTGAGTTCAGACTGCACAATTTTGTCAAGGTGCTGTTGGAAATTATTTAACAGAGCAAGGAAATTTTTACAGGATGTCTGATAATATTTTTTCTACTGGAGAAAGTCTTATTTGTTTTATTTCGGCTAGAATAAAAGCAGTTTTTAATTTTTTTTAAAAACATTTTAAGGTCAAAATTATTAGGCCCTTTAGGCTATATATATTTTATTCTACAGAACAAACCATCATTATACAATAACTTGCCTAATCCCCCTAACCTGCCTAGTTAACCTAATTAACCTAGTTAAGCCTTTAAATGTCACTTTCAGCTGTATAGAAGTGTCTTGAAAAATATCTAGTCAAATATTATTTACTGTCATCATGGCAAAGATAAAATAAGTCAGTTATTAGAGATAAGTTATTAAAACTATTATGTTTAGAAATGTGTTGAAAAAATCTGCTCTCCGTTAAGTGAAGTTTCACAAACTAACTTCGAGAGGAGCACGTGATATAATTGACTGCAGCTGGTCTCTCATCTACAATTATAAGTTAGCCAATCAGATTAATCTAAACTCACTACAATTAGTCCAGCTTAAATTACTCCCGGATATTCATTTTCCGAAGAAACCCCCCATCCACCCCTTCTCCCTCTTTCTTCCTTTACTAGGGGGAGCTCTCGAGAACTACCTGATCGTGTACTCCCCTTACATGCTCATCAACCAGGCGGGGAACCCTTGGCTCAATTATCTCTGAGCTCAGGGTTTTTTCCGGGTACAGCTGTCATTATCAAACAATATCTAAATGTGAACTCTTGAAACAGAAATAAAATAAACGGGGGGGCTAATAATTCTGACTTCAACTGTATGTTATGGGGTGCAGACAAGGAACTGGCATGACAAGTTTGGTCCGGGTCTCGGATCCTAAGGTTTCATCTGCCCTGTTTTGAATTCAATTATATTTTTTAAAACTTTTCAGTAATATACACTGCCAATCAGAAGTTTGGGCTAAGTAGGATTTTTAAATGTTTGAAAATAAGCTTATGCTACTCACCAAAGATGCATTTATTTAATCAAAAATACAGTACGCATTGTAAAATTGTGAAATGTTATTACACTATAAAATAACTGTTCAAAAGTAGATTATCATTTAATTTAATCATTTATTTCAGTGATTTTTTTAATGATGAATTTTCAACTTCATTACTCCAGTCTTCAGAGTGACATGATCCTTGGAAATCTCCTTGGGTTCACAAGGGTTTCATCTGGCTGCTCGTTTTCCCTACAGTCTAAAGACATGCGCTATAGGTGAATTGAATAAACTAAATTGATCGTAGTGTATGTGTGTGAATGAGAGAGTGTATGGGTGTTTCCAAGTACTGGGTTATGGCTGAAAGGGCATCCGCTGTGTAAAACATGTGCTGGAATAGTTGGTGGTTCATTCCGCTGTGGTGACCCCTGATAAATAAGGGACTAAGGTGGATGAAAATGAATGAATAAATGAATGAATGAAATCTCCTCAGGTTTTTGGATAATTATGCATTCAGAAGTTAATGTCCAAACACACCTTTATAGTTCACGTTTTTGCAGATGAAATATGACACGGAAAACGTGATTTTAATGTTTTGCTAGATATTAATCATCAAACAGCTTTGAATGTTGAATTGTCTCTATTTGATGGTTGGTCTCACGAGTCCACAATGTTTGCGACCCGAGATCGACTCCTGGCTCGAGGTCCTTTGCCAACCCTGCCCCACTCTCTGCTCCCAATACTTTCCTGTCTGTAACTTTCACTGTCCGATCTCAATTTAAGGTGAAAACCCCATAAAAAGTATTTAGGAAAAAAAAAAAAAAAAATAGCAGAGGATCTGGGAACCTTTGGCATACTCAACATAGGCTACTATGAGATGGGACACACTATTTCGAATACTATTTTGAATGGATATCATAAAATTGGGAAGCAGCATAAAGATTTTTTTTTTCATTTATTTATTTACTTTTGATTTTATGCCTTTATCTTTCTTCCAACAACTTTTAATGTTGAAAGTTTTTTATTTTGAGATTTTTAATTGTCTGAAATGATATGTTGTCTGGTTTTGGGTGGTAAAAAAACTTGTAATAATCTGCTAGTACTTTTTCTGTTGTTTCACAAACTTAATTCTCTCTCTCTCTCTATTAATTCTTATTCAATATATTGTTTCAATTGACTAAAATGGCAATAAAAAAGTCAATTTGTTGAATTTACAACACCAAAAGTCAACAGAGCAGAGATCAAGGTCCCATAATGCAATTTATAACCAAAAGTAAACATACAAATGCCATCAATCATCACATACACATCCTGTTGATCAAAGGATTGTTTTCTAGTGTGTGAAAGGGGCAACAAATAACAACAAACTATGTAACAAATAACTATCCAGTTTGGCGTGTTACATTTCTTTTATTGGGTTTGCTGGAGATCATGCTGAAGTTTATGTAATCTGCCCAGATCTGATGAGTTTGATCTCTGGGTTCTAATCCGAGACTCAACAAAGAAATGATGCATGTTCATGTTTAGCATGTTTCAGTTGTGTGTTTATTCAGTGTATTAGGCCATACCACACGTGTTTCCTGTGGATGTGAAA